CCCCACCCCACAGGCAGCAGAGCCCAGCTCCTCCTGCACCCAGGGTAAGGAGCCCCGGCTCTGGCAATGGGTGCTCAGGTCTTTGTGGGTGATCTGTGGGGAACCGAAGCAGGGATCTATAGGGGATATACCAGGTGCCACCATCTGGGTGAGCAGACCAGCCCGCTGGGAGAAAGTCCCACCCACCCAAACCCCCAAAAGCACTTGACCCCAGACCCCATCCCTGCTCCCCAGCAAGGGGCACAGGGTTCCCGGGGCTCCCAGCAGGTGTTTAAGGGCTTTTGGCCCTGAGACATGTGCCCTGCCCAGCCTCTCCCATATTGAATGGCCACCCCGGAACACCAGTTTCCCCCATTAGTTCTCCCTTTGTTCTGATGTGTGCTTCCTTCTCAGTGTGACTCTCAAAGCTGCGTAGCTCCTTTTTACTGTAGATACCGCTGCAATCTTTAGTTTTCTCAGCGTGTCCTTCCAGATGATATATATATAAATACCTATACATAATATATATAAGGGTTTGTCCGGTCCCTGACCTTTTTGGGTTCATTTCACCTTGCATTTTTGTCCAAGCGGTGACATGTGGTTCCTCTGGGTGTGGTCTGGCCGTGCTCACCTTTGGACCCTCACCTTGGTTTTGTTGGTCAGTTTGGTTTTTCCTGGTGGTTTGTTCTTTTGATTTTTGTTGGTTTTCCTTTTTTCTCACTCATAGCAGAATTTACGGTATTTTCCTGTCTGAACGTAACCTGGTTTTGTCACAGCGGCGTCAAGGTCGTGGCACTCACGAGACGGCAATATGTAAACCGAATTTAACTTGCCTGTTGTAGAGAGGATTTACTGTGTTGGAAAAAACCCAACAAACTAATAAAACGTTAAGAACCTGCTGTGTTTTTTTCAACATGCTGCGGGGAAATGCGTCCAAGCTCATCCTGGGCCTGCCAGCAGAGATCTGAAGGGCAGGGAGGACAAGGGGGACACCTTGGCCACCAACACCACCAGGTGCTGCACTGCTGGTAGAGGCAGACCAGGGTGCCCATGGAGGAGATCCATCATGTGCTGTGGCTTCAGAATAGCCATGGGCAGGGTGCCCCGTATGGTGGGAGTGGATGGAGACTGGAAAGCTTCTAGTTGTGGCCCAACGAGGTTGGATCCAAGGGGTGCCAACTGGGGAAGGTCTCCTCAGGAGACCCAGCCTCCTTGTCCTCTTCCAGGCCTGCAGGCTCCCTGTTTTTTTTCCCCGTCAAGGTCTGAATGTCCCAGGCCACAGCCCTTTCCAAGTGCACGAAGCCCTCCCTGGGAAGGATCCCCTCCCTGGGAAGGATCCCCTCCCTGCATCCTAGCCCTCATCCCTGCTCCAGTGTGTTGGTATCTGCCTTGTACTGGGACACGTG